CCCAAAAAAAAAGAAAAAAAAAAAAAAAAAAACCCCCAAAAAAACTGATTCCCCCCAAAGTGAATACAATTCGCTTTTGTGCTTTGCTGGGTATTGGTTTTTTTTGGGTTTGTTTTTTTTTTTGTTTTGTTTTGTTTTTTGCTTTTAATGGCGAATGTTTTATATAATGATATGTGATATCTGTTTAGGAGGAGGTTCTGTTTTTTCTGTTTTATTTAACATGATCCACTTCTGCGAAAGGAAAGGAAATTAAGTTCCAAAAAGCTTTTTTTTTTTTTTTTCCTCGCTCTCTCTTTACAATATCAGTTCGTATAGGAGGAAGTCTGCTGTTACTAGGAACTACTCCTGTCATGTGTCGTCTTGCTGTTTGGGTAAAAACATGTTTTTCTGTGTGGGCAGCATATGTTTCAACAGTGAAGCAGAATTATGAAGCTATTTTGTCATGCACACTTTGGAGGTGATGTTACTGAACACTGACAACAACAAACGTGACTTTGTAAACCACTCTTCACGTTCAATTATAATGGAGTTCTAATCATAACCGCATGGTTGTTAGTCTCTCCTGTTCATTTTCTTTTCTCCTTGTCTTGGTACAGAAAATTGAGCACTGCTACAAACATAACCCGGGAAGAAAAAAAAAAAACGCCAGCTAGCATTATAAGCAACTTTTACCTTCGCCATTACAAGGTGTCCTGACGTTTACCGGGATAAAGTCTGTTCCAATTCTGTCACTTAAATGTCACTGATGTGTTGATCAAGTTCAGTTTAAGTTCCAAAAAAATATTTTACGAACCTAAAAGTACTTGGTATTGACGATACTGGCTCCAGTATTTACTTGGTATCGATACCAAAATCTCAGGTACCGATATCATCAATGTCACACTTTTCTGGATTAGGTTCATTTAAAGTTTGCAATAACATTCTTATTTTTTTTTGACAGAAAATTAAATATTCCAAAAAAGTGGACAAAAATATTCCCCCAAACAGACAAAAATATCCTGGAAAACAAAGAAATCCATAAACAAGACAAAAAAACCCAATTGGAAAACCAGAAACTAAAAAAAGAAATAGTCAAAAAAACCAAAGCCCCCCCCCAAAGAAATAGTAAAAAAAAAAAAAAAAAACCCCCAAAAAAACTGATTCCCCCCAAAGTGAATACAATTCGCTTTTGTGCTTTGCTGGGTATTGGTTTTTTTTGGGTTTGTTTTTTTTTTTGTTTTGTTTTGTTTTTTGCTTTTAATGGCGAATGTTTTTTTTAATGATAAGTTCGTATAGGAGGAAGTCTGCTGTTACTAGGAACTACTCCTGTCATGTGTCGTCTTGCTGTTTGGGTAAAAACATGTTTTTCTGTGTGGGCAGCATATGTTTCAACAGTGAAGCAGAATTATGAAGCTATTTTGTCATGCACACTTTGGAGGTGATGTTACTGAACACTGACAACAACAAACGTGACTTTGTAAACCACTCTTCACGTTCAATTATAATGGAGTTCTAATCATAACCGCATGGTTGTTAGTCTCTCCTGTTCATTTTCTTTTCTCCTTGTCTTGGTACAGAAAATTGAGCACTGCTACAAACATAACCCGGGAAGAAAAAAAAAAAACGCCAGCTAGCATTATAAGCAACTTTTACCTTCGCCATTACAAGGTATCCTGACGGTTACCGGGATAAAGTCTGTTCCAATTCTGTCACTTAAATGTCACTGATGTGTTGATCAAGTTCAGTTTAAGTTCCAAAAAAATATTTTACGAACCTAAAAGTACTTGGTATTGACGATACTGGCTCCAGTATTTACTTGGTATCGATACCAAAATCTCAGGTACCGATATCATCAATGTCACACTTTTCTGGATTAGGTTCATTTAAAGTTTGCAATAACATTCTGTTCAGACTTTGTTGTCCGTTGCTGAGCTTCACTGGCAGGCAGATTTGTAAAGTAGGCCGACTGTGCATCACATCACCGCGTGTTGGTGTTTCCACGAAAATATATGAAGCCCAAAGTGGCTCATGAGGGCTTTTCTTAAACCTGTTTTTCGAGTCCCTGTTGCTGAAAAGCCCCCGTCGCACATAAACCCGGTTTAGTCCACTTACCGCAGTCCGAGGATCACACTTGTCAGCACATTTTCTACGGCATGGCGACACGCCCACGTGCTTCCTCCCAGCCCGGGAAGCTTTCCTTCCTCCAGACCTCCAAGGCCAATACGGCCTTGCGACCAAGGGCCGTGTCCTCGCGCTCGGGCTCCGTGCTGGAAGACGAGCTGTCGTGCCCGGTCTGCTGCGAGATCTTCAAGGAGCCCGTGGTGCTCAAGTGCAGCCACAGTTTCTGCCGGGCATGCCTGCAGCAGTTTTGGAATAAGAAGGCGGCCCGCCGCGAGTGCCCCATCTGCCGCAGGAAATGCTCCCTGACCGAGCCCACCGTCAGCCTGGCCCTGAAGAACGTGGCCGACACCTTCCTGAGGGAGCAGCGGCGCCAGCCGGACGGTCCGGGCGCTCCCGGGCTGAGCGGGGGCCGGGCCGACGCGCAGCAGGAGGTGAGGTGTGACGCCCACGGCGAAGTCCTCAAGCTCTTCTGCCTGGATGACTTGCAGGTCCTTTGCTGCGTGTGCCACACTTCCAAGAAGCATCAGGGACACCGAGTGTGTCCTCTTGAAGAAGGGGCGCACGATCTCAAGGTAGGGCTGGCGTGATTGCATGATGAAAGTCGTCCATATGATGTGTTGATGAAATGTTCCTATTCTGCCTAGTGACAGCAAAAACAATCTACAATTTTGGGTGAGATCATTTCACTTGCTAATAGTCAACTCTTGTTTTATATTTAATACAACAATATTCAGCTATATTAATTGGGGCTTCATTGATTAATTGTCTGGCTGATTTAACTTGCTGATATTAGCTGTTTCCAAAAAAAAAAAAAAAGTATATTTACTGTTTCCAAAAAAAAAAAAAAAAACCCCGGCAAAATTGGCTTTTTTTTTTTAAAACGATTTTTGTCTTGTCAAGTTAAACAAATTCTAAAAGACAAATCTTCCTGTAATGTTTTCTCTAAGTCAGGGGTGTCAAACTCATTTCACATGGTGGGCCACATACAGCCTCGGTAGATGTCAAGTGGGCCGGACCATTAAAATGATACCATACTTTGCTATAAATAACCAAAACAATGTCTTTCCTTTGTTTTGGTATAAAAAAGCACAAGAACATTAGGAAAATGTTGAAATTTAATGAACATATCTTTTACAAAATATTTCATGAAGCACCTTACATTTCCTTCGACAAATGTGCAATTTACTTTTATCATTCACATATATGCATTGCAAATGATCCCACTGATTGTACAAACTTTAACAAGTAATTGGTATTGAAAAATATAGTAATGCACTTTAAGATTAAACAAGATTCATAAAGAAAGCAAGTTTTAAAGCATTTACACGTGCATATAAAATCTAAATGTAATCCCTGCCTACACCTTACAAACTAAGGAGAGTGCTATTAAATGTGTAAATGTGAGAGTGCTATTGATAGCGTCTGCTGTCATGGGTCTGTCACAGTGACGGACTGAGGCTGCTGTTGTCTTCTTCTCTGATCAAAACAGTGTCCCCTTGCGGATACTCAATGAATTGCACCTTATTAAAAATATTAATTCTGTCTTTAATGCATTTTTTTCACTTTTAAATTATCCTGCG